TAAACCCCAGCATGATGGCGCCACAGCCGTGCAAAACAGCAGGACCGATGGTAAACCCCAGCATGATGCTGCCACAGCCGTGCAAAAAAGCAGGACCGATGGTAAACCCCAGCATGATGCCGCCACAGCCGTGCAAAACAGCAGGACCGATGGTAAACCCCAGCATGATGGCGCCACAGCCGTGCAAAACAGCAGGACCGATGGTAAACCCCAGCATGATGCTGCCACAGCCATGCAAAACAGCAGGACCGATGGTAAACCCCAGCATGATGCCGCCACAGCCGTGCAAAACAGCAGGACCGATGGTAAACCCCAGCATGATGCCGCCACAGCCGTGCAAAACAGCAGGACCGATGGTAAACCCCAGCATGATGCCGCCACAGCCGTGCAAAACAGCAGGACTGATGGTAAACCCCAGCATGATGCCGCCAAATCCGTGCAAAACAGCAGGACCGATGGTAAACCCCAGCATGATGCCGCCACATCCGTGCAAAACAGCAGGACCGATGGTAAACCCAAGCATGATGCTGCCACATCCGTGCAAAACAGCAGGACCGATGGTAAACCCCAGCATGATGCTGCCACATCCGTGCAAAACAGCAGGACCGATGGTAAACCCCAGCATGATGCCGCCACAGCCATGCAAAACAGCAGGACCGATGGTAAACCCCAGCATGATGCCGCCACAGCCGTGCAAAACAGCAGGACCGATGGTAAACCCCAGCATGATGCCGCTACAGCCGTGCAAAACAGCAGGACCGATGGTAAACCCCGGCATGATGGCGCCACAGCCGTGCAAAACAGCAGGACCGATGGTAAACCCCAGCATGATGGCGCCACAGCCATGCAAAACAGCAGGACCGATGGTAAACCCCAGCATGATGCTGCCACAGCCGTGCAAAACAGCAGGACCGATGGTAAACCCCAGCATGATGCCGCCACAGCCGTGCAAAACAGCAGGACCGATGGTAAACCCCAGCATGATGCCGCCACATCCGTGCAAAACAGCAGGACCGATGGTAAACCCCAGCATGATGCCGCCACATCCGTGCAAAACAGCAGGACCGATGGTAAACCCCAGCATGATGCCGCCACAGCCGTGCAAAAAAGCAGGACCGATGGTAAACCCCAGCATGATGCTGCCACAGCCGTGCAAAACAGCAGGACCGATGGTAAACCCCAGCATGATGCCGCCACAGCCGTGCAAAAAAGCAGGACCGATGGTAAACCCCAGCATGATGCCGCCAAATCCGTGCAAAACAGCAGGACCGATGCTAAACCCCAGCATGATGCCGCCACATCCGTGCAAAACAGCAGGGCCGATGGTAAACCCCAGCATGATGCCGCCACAGCCGTGCAAAACAGCAGGACCGATGGTAAACCCCAGCATGATGCTGCCACAGCCGTGCAAAACAGCAGGACCGATGGTAAACCCCAGCATGATGCCGCCACATCCGTGCAAAACAGCAGGACCGATGGTAAACCCCAGCATGATGCTGCCACATCCGTGCAAAACAGCAGGACCGATGGTAAACCCAAGCATGATGCTGCCACATCCGTGCAAAACAGCAGGACCGATGGTAAACCCCAGCATGATGCTGCCACATCCGTGCAAAACAGCAGGACCGATGGTAAACCCCAGCATGATGCCGCCACATCCGTGCAAAACAGCAGGACCGATGGTAAACCCCAGCATGATGCCGCCACAGCCGTGCAAAAAAGCAGGACCGATGGTAAACCCCAGCATGATGCTGCCACATCCGTGCAAAACAGCAGGACCGATGGTAAACCCAAGCATGATGCTGCCACATCCGTGCAAAACAGCAGGACCGATGGTAAACCCCAGCATGATGCCGCCACATCCGTGCAAAACAGCAGGACCGATGGTAAACCCCAGCATGATGCCGCCACAGCCGTGCAAAACAGCAGGACCGATGGTAAACCCCAGCATGATGCCGCCACATCCGTGCAAAACAGCAGGACCGATGGTAAACCCCGGCATGATGCCGCCACATCCGTGCAAAACAGCAGGACCGATGGTAAACCCCAGCATGATGCCGCCACATCCGTGCAAAACAGCAGGACCGATGGTAAACCCCAGCATGATGCCGCCACAGCCGTGCAAAACAGCAGGACCGATGGTAAACCCCAGCATGATGCCGCCACATCCGTGCAAAACAGCAGGACCGATGGTAAACCCCAGCATGATGCTGCCACATCCGTGCAAAACAGCAGGACCGATGGTAAACCCCAGCATGATGCCGCCACATCCGTGCAAAACAGCAGGACCGATGGTAAACCCAAGCATGATGCTGCCACATCCGTGCAAAACAGCAGGACCGATGGTAAACCCCAGCATGATGCCGCCACAGCCGTGCAAAACAGCAGGACCGATGGTAAACCCCAGCATGATGCTGCCACATCCGTGCAAAACAGCAGGACCGATGGTAAACCCCAGCATGATGCTGCCACAGCCGTGCAAAACAGCAGGACCGATGGTAAACCCCAGCATGATGCTGCCACATCCGTGCAAAACAGCAGGACCGATGGTAAACCCCAGCATGATGCTGCCACAGCCGTGCAAAACAGCAGGACCGATGGTAAACCCCAGCATGATGCTGCCGCCACAGGTTGGGCCGCGCTCCAGCAGAGAGCCATCTTCTCCTCTCATCTCTGACTGGGTGGAGTTACCAACCGTTACTTCCCAGTGTCAGTGTGCTGCTCAGGGGCACTGAGGCAGAAAACCGTAACGGATCGACTCAAAGCGTTCACCGTTCATCTGCTGAGCGCCTCTGATGATTGACGACCCATTTCCAGTCCGGTTTCTGCCGGTTCAGCAGCGAGGAGGAGCTGAGCTGGGAGGTTTCCAACCCGTCAGTCCGCCTGTCGGTCTTGGCAACAAGCTGAAGTCTGGTTGCATAACGGCAGCCTGTCAGCGAGTGGTGATGTCATAGCGGCGTTCCTGGAGCTGTTTTCTGAATTTAACCTCAACTTTACAAAACATGTAAATCCCCCCCGTTCCTTCCGACTGTGAAGGTCCCACCAGCATCTCAATCAGGGAAAGATCTGGACTTTAACTAGGCCACTGACCCGGGGCGGGGGGGGGGCTGGTTGGTTCTAAATGATGACATAAGAAATGACAATTATAGGCTAGGAAAGCAAATTAAAACTAAAATTCAATAAGAAAAGTTATTTATGAATCAAAATAAATAAGAAAATATAGTGTTTATTGTTGGATTATTAAATAATTCCCTGATCCTCTTTATAATTAAACTTAAAAGGTTGAATTATAAAATCTTTTCTGAATTGCATTTCTAGTTGTGTGATTTAAAAGTTTAATTTTAATTTTACACAGTAAAAAATAGATCTAAGAAATATGCAAAAATGTCTTAAATTAAGTGTATTTCCCATTAATTTGAGCAGGTAATTATGATTTGACAATGAACTTAAAATTTCAACATTTAAATAAGATAATTAGATATTATGCACTAGAAATAAGACATTGCAATTGTTGTTTTTTATTTTAAATGTAACTTATCTTGTTTCATTGGCAAAGTGTCTCAGCTCCTCAATTCAAGAAAAAATGCACTTATTTTAAGACAAAATGACTTATTTAGATTAACTGATCATAACGGGCGTTCAGCAGGAGGATCAGACGGAACCGCCGGGGGAGCTGAGGTGAGCGAAGGTCTGATCTGAGCGCCGCTTCGCATCCATCAGTCATCTGCTCCAACAATTGAGGAGAAATTAAGAGTTTTTCCTGGAACTGATCAGAGCTGAAGGTGTGGGTGTGATGTGCTGCCACACCTGGATGTGTTTAAACTCGTCTGCACTGAAACGATGACGGCATGAGAGCAGCGAGGCGGGACAACCTGAACCTGCTCTCTGACGGGGGAAACCAGAGCTTCTGCATCCAGAATGGGATCAAACTGCCTTCAAATCTCTCTTCTAAAACCCTGAACATGTTTACTGTAAGCAGAAAGGCAGGGAAGGACTTTACAGACCATTAAAATCTACTTTTTAAAGAAGGTTATGAACCAAAAAAATTCCAATAAAGTAAAAAACTGAAGCTTGATTCGAAGTTTGAAGACGTTTCTCTTCCATCCAGATTTTTCAATCCAAAATGTCAGAAATAGCGTTTAGTTCCAGGTTTTATCCAGCAGCCCAACAAAGCCTGGTTTTAGTTTAGAAAACATGCAAATAGAAACGGATGAACGGGTCCCCCCCTTTGGAATGGGGGTCGTTTGGCTTCTTTGTTAGCCTGGAATGCCCCATACCTGTCTATGTCTCTGAAAGGGGGGTCGTTAGAGGGAACAAAGAAGACAGGTGGTTAGAGAGGAGCGAGAAGGAAGCCATCTATGTTAAGAAAGAAAAAGCAACCTTAAACGGGGGGGTGAGAGAGAGGGGGAGACATGAGGCAAAGGACCCCAGGCCGGATTTGAACCCGGGTCGGCCGCGTCGCGGACTAAGGCCTCCGTCATGGGTTATGTGCGCTAACCACTGCGCCACCAAAGCACAACACAGAAGGCCTCACCTGTTCAGTCAGCCTAACATTTCGTATCGTATTAGTTTTAGGTATAAATAATTTTGCGCTTTTCCTTTAAAACATCTTCTGGATCAGAGAAGTTGGAAGTTTCAGAGGACATTAACCTCTGTGGTTCCTCAGCAGGCAGCCATGGCAGGAGGCCGGTGGCGTTTCTGATTCCCACGGTCGCAGACTAACAGGAATCCTTCCTCATGCCAACAGTGCATCAAACATTCACTTTCATTTCAGCTCCGTCACACGAACGCAGGAAGGCGAGTAGGATCCTGTCGTCTCCTGCAGCCGAGCAGAACCAGCTGCTGCCAGGAGGCACACCCACCCATGTTCAGTCCCCCCACGGGGGCACGGCTGTCCAGCAGAGGGCCACCAGAGAATCACCTTCTGGTGGCCGTCTGCCTTCCGGTTCTCTGGGTTCCTCGGTCTGTAGAACCGATGCAGGCGGTTCTGTTTTACTCACTGTTGCTGTGTGGTTCTGAGCTCCTGCTCCGTCCGTCTCTGCAGCTCCTGGAGGTGAAAGTTCAGCTGCTGACTCAGAGCGGCGAAGCGCCGCAACTCCTCTCTGGCCTGGTTCTCCTCCCACGCCGGGCCCTGACACACAGAACCACAGCAGAGCAGAACCAGTCAGCCGTACGGTTTGGGCCCACGGCGGGTCAGCACAGGTTCTGGTTCTAACGGACCCTGGAGGCCTCAGGCTGGACCAGGGTCGGATCCCAGACAGGATTCTATCCTGGACAAAGCGGCTAACTGGACCTCAGATGGTCCCCTGGCCCGGTCTTCTCTGCCCAGGCTGGTGGCCCGGTTCTGCTGCAGTCAGAAGGCAGATTAAAGCTAGACTTCTAACCAACTGGTACCGAGTCAGGGCTCGAATCGGACCTGGATCCATTTGGACTGAATTCGGCAGCCAGTCAGCAGCCAATCATCAGCCAATCATCAGCCAGTCAGAAGCCAATCATCAGCCAATCATCAGCCAATCATCAGCCAATCATCAGCCAGTCAGCAGCCAATCATCAGCCAATCATCAGCCAATCATCAGCCAGTCAGCAGCCAATCATCAGCCAATCATCAGCCAATCATCAGCCAGTCAGAAGCCAATCATCAGCCAGTCAGCAGCCAATCATCAGCCAGTCAGCAGCCAATCATCAGCCAATCATCAGCCAGTCAGAAGCCAATCATCAGCCAGTCAGCAGCCAATCATCAGCCAGTCAGCAGCCAATCATCAGCCAATCATCAGCCAATCATCAGCCAATCATCAGCCAATCGGCAGCCAATCATCAGCCAATCATCAGCCAGTCAGCAGCCCATCATCAGCCAATCATCAGCCAGTCAGAAGCCAATCATCAGCCAATCAGCAGCCAATCATCAGCCAGTCAGCAGCCAATCATCAGCCAATCATCAACCAGTCAGCAGCCAATCAGCCAATCATCAGCCAATCATCAGCCAATCATCAGCCAGTCAGAAGCCAATCATCAGCCAATCAGCAGCCAATCAGCAGCCAATCATCAGCCAGTCAGCAGCCAATCATCAGCCAATCATCAGCAGCCAATCATCAGCCAATCAGCAGCCAATCATCAGCCAATCATCAGCCAATCATCAGCCAGTCAGCAGCCAATCATCAGCCAATCATCAGCCAATCATCAGCCAGTCAGCAGCCAATCATCAGCCAATCATCAGCCAGTTAGCAGCCAATCATCAGCCAATCATCAGCCAATCATCAGCCAATCGACAGCCAATCAGCAGCCAATCAGCAGCCAATCATCAGCCAATCATCATCAGCCAATCATCAGCCAATCATCAGCCAATCATCAGCCAGTCATCAGCCAATCATCAGCCAGTCATCAGCCAGTCATCAGCCAATCATCAGCCAGTCATCAGCCAATCATCAGCCAATCATCAGCCAATCAGCAGCCAATCATCAGCCAGTCGGCAGCCAATCATCAGCCAATCATCAGCCAGTCATCAGCCAATCATCAGCCAATCATCAGCCAGTCATCAGCCAACCATCAGCCAATCAGCAGCCAATCATCAACCAATCATCAGCCAATCATCAGCCAATCATCAGCCAGTCATCAGCCAATCATCAGCCAATCATCAACCAATCATCAGCCAATCATCAGCCAGTCGGCAGCCAATCATCAGCCAATCATCAGCCAGTCAGCAGCCAATCATCAGCCAGTCGGCAGCCAATCATCAGCCAATCATCAGCCAGTCAGCAGCCAATCATCAGCCAATCGGCAGCCAATCATCAGCCAGTCCGTCTGGGCCCACGTGACCCGGTCCGGCGGGAGAACAGGCCCAGCAGACGGGTCCCACTGATTGTCTGAACACAAATTCCTGTAGGAGGATGAACGGCTCAGACCGGATCAAACCAGATCAGAACAGATCGGTAAAGTTCTACCAACGGGGTCCGAATAAGAAATAAACCCAGAAAATCGACAGAAGAAAATGTTTCAGCCCAAACAGTGACCCAGCAGACGGACCAGGGAGGAAGTTCTGGTTCTGTTTGAAGCTGGAGTAGCTTCCAGAACAATCCATCATCTGAACATGGAGCTGCTGCACAGTCTGAGCAGAGGAATCAGCAACAACATGTGGAGGATTGGGGCTTCATTTAGATGGGGATTCATTTAGAAAACTAACTTCAACTAGTTCAGTTTAATTCTATTCAGTTTATTTCTATAGTGCCAATTCACATCATGTCATCTCAGGTCACTTTATAGATCCAGTTCAACCAGATCATCCAGTTTTCAATCTAAGGAAAACCAGCTGATTGCATCGACTCATTGACTCTTCAGCAATCACCCGACAGTGGAGACAGTGGAGAGGAAAAACTCCCTTTGAACAGGAAGAAACCTCCTGCAGTTCATTTATAGGTTTGTGAAAAAGTGAACTATGAACGGGAGCTAGTTCATTTTCATCTGTGTGAACTGAACTTATCAGGAACTGGGACAACATTGATCGCTCTGAGGAGAGGCTGATGATGATGATGATGGTGGAGGTTCTTTCCATCAGGATCACCACCATAAAACCTCCATCAAGAGTTTTAATGGGAGGATTCAGATGAAAGCAGGTTCATGTGGTAGAAGGGAACGGCCTAGTCAAAGTCCAGACCTAAACCTAGCTTTGAATCTGGAACTAGACAAAAAAACAAAAAAAAAAACCCCAGCCCTTTCCCTCCACACTATTCAGATCTAGATTCATGTACTTCCTGCTTCATGTTTGTCTCCATTAAACGCACTTAAGAACAGAAGCGCCTGCCGGCTGATTTACCTTCTGGTTCTCAGCAGTCGCTGACCTTAGGATGGTAACTTTGTCCTCTATCAGCTGCCGTAGTTTGTCCACTGAATCGGGGAATTCCTCTTGGCTTCTCTGGAAATCTGGATTCTGAACAGAGAGAGGAGGATTTTAGAAAACTGTCTCATCTCTTCAAACCAAAAGCTTCTGTAGCAGCTTGGAGTGAAATCCCTGCTGCTTGCTGATGTAGCTTAGAGCCAAGACTCTTTCTATCTAAGAGCAAAGACTTTTCTTTGGCTCTTAAAGGTGGAACCGATCAGAGGTTCTGTGGGTTTCTAAAGGCCTTTCAGACTTTAGCCAGCTGTCCGCTCAGCTTCAGTCCAAGGCTAGCCTTTTTTTCAGAGGATGGTGCTAACATCTTAGCCATGAATCAGGAAAAAAAGCTCCTAAATCGATTAATTGATTGATTGACTTTATTGATCTCACAGCGGAGAAATGTACTCATTCCATCAGCTCAAAAAGTCAAAGTAGAAGAAGAAGGAGGAAGGAAGAGAAAGATGCACGATGGGATATATACAGGATATACAGAGCATCTGCTGCACATGTTCAGAAAGGTCCAAACAGACAGCAGCAAACCATTTGAAAACAAACCATGCAAAGAGCAGTGTTGCCAACTTAGCGCTTTAGTCGCTATATTTAGCCACTTTTCAGACCCCTCTAGCACTTTGATTTCTAAAAAGACTTTGGAGACAACATCTAAAAGCAGCGAACTCTGCTCTCCAGAGCGAGTAGATTGGTAACCCCGCCTCCTGCTCTCCTCTATCTTGTCTGCTGTCATGATTCATGCAGCTATTATTTCATCCAAATGAAAAATGGAGAACAGATAAGCAGATCATGGCTTGTCTACAGTGAAAAGAAGGACTGGGTTATTTACTTTGGCCTTTTTGGAAACACAGGAAGGAGCAATCAGCTAAGTGAGCTTAGTGCTTGGAAAAAATCTTTCATTCCTTTAGAGACAGCATGAAAAGTCAGCTGAGTACAAAACATAGAGAGGAAAACAAGAAGAAAAGGGACAAGAAGAGAGGGACACAACCTAGAACAAAGACACTGCCTGTCTCTGCTTAGGGCCCCAAATTTCCTAAATCCGCCCCTGCCATTGACCATGAAATCCAACAAACACTAAAATCTGGATCGTTTAATTATCCCTGAGGATCTTTCTTCAGCTGCGATCATCATGATGAAGATGAGTATTTCCATCAATCAACCGTTTCCAGGGATCAATCCGCTGCTTTAGGAGGTCAGAGCGCTGCAGCACTTTGCATCTACCTCATATTATCATCTTATCATTATCATTATCATCATGCTTCTTCTTACCGTGCAGCTTGCATGTTTTATTCCTTAATGGCGGTAAGTTATCGTCTCGTCATTAAACCAGATTCCCTGCATGTCTAAAAACCTGCCAATAAGGTTTTTGCTCTTTTATTTATTTATTAATGTGACTGATTTCCTTCCTCTGCAGCAGGATCCCAGGCGACAAATCATTTCAAAACACACACCAATAAAACTTCTTTAACCCGGTTAGATTTAAAAAACATTAGGATGCATAAAAACTTATAAAAAGATTAAACGGATTGATGCGGCAAAGGTTGCAAACAGTTTTAATGAGCAATTAAAAGACAAAGTGGAGGATGCAGCCCTGTTTTATTTAGACCTGCAGCTGCATGAGAAAAACATTCCATCATTTTAATCCTCAGCAGAAAACCTGCTGGACTCAAACGGCTCCTTTTCCCTAAAGAATAAACAGTCGTCAGGAACTGCAGATGGACGGTGGGCAACCGCCATTCCTCTCGCTGCTAAACGAGCCGAAGGAGTCATAACCTGAGTGGGCCGATGCTGACAACACACAGGCTGTGATGACTGATTAAACTCAATCAAAACAAATTCATTGTTTTTAACTCCATTTAAACCCATAGCAGACGCTTAAGAAAAGATAGAAATATGAAGAAAAGATCGAAGTTTGGATTATTTAAGTTGTGTTTAACCATCAGGAGCTCCAACCAACCAGTTGGGTTTCCATCATAAAGCAGAAACATGGTGAACGTGACGCCATTTTCTCTCCTCATTAATGAAGAACTGTTAGAAATGAATCTTATGCTGCTAATGTTTCCTGCTAACTATGTTTCACAGCTAAAGATGGTGTAGAATGGGAGGCAGATCTTTTAGTTCTCAGGCTCCTCTCCTGTGGAACCAACTACCAGTTTTAGTCCGTGAGGCAGACACCCTGTCTACTTTTAAGGCTAGGCTTAAAACTTTCCTTTTTGATAAAGCTTCTAGTTAGAGTGGCTCAGGTTATCCTGATCTATCTCTATAGTTCTGCTGCTATAGGCTTAGACTGCTGGAGGACATAGGGACCCCTTTTTCATCATTCTGCTTCATTCTATCTCTATTCTCCCACTCTGCAGAATCTGTTAGTTCAATCTCTAACGTTCTGCTCTCTCTGCTTTTTCTCATAGTAGCTTCATCTGGTCTGTTCCTGTTTGGCTGTGACTCCATCCTGGAGAGAAATACCAACCCAGTCTCATGGGAAAATGTACCCCCACTACGTTGGTCCACACTGCAAAACGTAGTGGAGGTACATTAATGGCCATTTTTTTGTGGTACTGTTACATTTCTTCTGCCTATACGCTTTCTATTGTTTTACGTCCTAGTCACGTGACTTTCAAGATTCCAGCTGGGAGAAAAAAAAAATATATATATGGCCGACATTCGCTCATTTTTTTGTGGAAAGATTAATAACTTGAGTTTGTTTTTGCATTAAAATAAGTTTTGATTACATTTCTAGTGAGAAATGTATAGTTTGTTGCCAGAATATTTACTCAGGGAATGTACATATTCACTTGCTTGTTCGTTTCTTGCAAAGATTTTTCAAGATAATGTGAAACTGTAACGTTTTGGTATAAACATGGCTGAGATTTCTCTAACTTTTAGTGGGAAAATCAATAATTTCAATCAGTTTCTGCATTTAAATGGGTTTTGATTACATTTATAGCGAGAAGTGTAGGGTTTATTTACATAATATTTACTTAGTGAACATACATAATCACCCGCTTGCTAGTTTTAGCTATTAAATTCTATTTTTTTATTTTGTATTCTGAAGATAAATAAATAATGCTTTCCTTAATCTATAAATATCTTTTATATTTCCTTTATTTCCCAATAATCTTTTAAGACTCCATTCTTGGCCTGTCCTTTCAACTCTTTTCAATTTCTCCATTTCAGGTTGAGATGTTTTACAGTTCATCAATACGTGTTCTACATTTTCTATCTCTCCACATCCTTCACATTTATGATTATTTTTCCTCCCTATTAAGTATAAATTGTCATTTAAATTCTTTTAAATTCTTTGAAAAGCATAGTAATAACAATAATAATAATATTTTTTTAAAGCAGTTAATGATTCCAACAAGCAAACTCATATTATAATTACCTTAAAATGTATTCTGATGGTTCTAAGAATTTAAAAGGGTGTGTGGGAATAGGAATATATGTACCAGAGTTCAAAATACACATTCCTAAAAGAATTTCAGATCAACTATCTGTTTTCACAGCAGAGATGGTGGCAGTTAGAGCCCGGTGGGACCTAAAATATTTTGAATGGAAATCAGTGGGGAGAAATTAATAAACTTCTGGTCCCAGTCGCTCTCTGTCACTGATTCCAGATATGCTGGTTGTGTATTTAAATTGTTTTGTTTTTTTTGAGTTCCTCTTTGGTCAAAATCTGGTCAAAACCCATCAATGAGATCGCACCAAACAGGAAGTTAAATGCACAAAGGATCCGGTAGATTTCCAAATAAAACACATCCGATCTTCACTCATGATCATTTTGTCAACATTAGTTTCTCCCGTATGCCACGACGTATTGCATTGATCTGAAAATCAACCTCAGACGCAGTGGCGAGGGTTTGATCCGTCAGATGGAGTTAAATCACAAAGAATTCAATGTTGAATCGGGGCGGCAGCTAAATGCTAGGCGATGGGTAGCAGCCAAAACGTTACAATTCCACATAATCCTCACGAGATCCGAAAAACCGTAGCTAAAACTAGCAAGCGGGTGATTATGTATGTTCACTAAGTAAATATTATGTAAATAAACCCAACACTTCTCGCTATAAATGTAATCAAAACCCATTTAAATGCAGAAACTGATTGAAATTATTGATTTTCCCACTAAAAGTTAGAGAAATCTCAGCCATGTTTATACCAAAACGTTACAGTTTCACATTATCTTGAAAAATCTTTGCAAGAAACGAACAAGCAAGTGAATATGTACATTCCCTGAGTAAATATTCTGGCAACAAACTATACATTTCTCACTAAAAATGTAATCAAAACTCATTTTAATGCAAAAACAAACTCAAGTTATTAATCTTTCCACAAAAAAATGAGCGAATGTCGGCGATATATATATATTTTTTCTCCCAGCTGGAATCTTGAAAGTCACGTGACTAGGACGTAAAACAATAGAAAGCGTATAGGCAGAAGAAATGGCCATTAATGTACCTCCACTACGTTTTGTAGTGTGGACCAACGTAGTGGGGGTACATTTTCCCATGAGACTGGGTTGGAAATATCAGCTGTGCTGCTGCCATCAACACCTTTGTTTCTAGATGTTGGAGCTTGGCCTGTTTTCCAGTGTAGTCCTGTTTCTCTGACTGTGACTAACTGGATGTGCTCTCTTCATCCTCTGACATGGGAGCTGGCTCGGAGCTCGTCTGCCTGGCTGTGTGTTTCCTGGAGGGGGGGGGGGGGGGTTGCCTGTGGAGCTGGTTGACAGTTGCCTTTTGTATCTATGCTTCTTTTTCTATGTCTGCTTCTGTCTCCTTGAACCCCAGTGGGCCTCAGCAGATGGCCGCTCACACTGAGCCTGGTTCTGCTGGAGGTTTCTTCCTGTTCAAAGGGAGTTTTTCCTCTCCACTGTCGCTACAAGCATGCTTAGTGTGAGGGATTGCTGAAGAGTCAATGAGTCGATGCAATCAGCTGGTTTTCCTTAGATAGAAAACTTTGAATCAATCTGACTGGATGATCTGGTGAACTGGAAAGTGACCTGAGATGACATGATGGGAATTGGAGCTATAGAAATAAACTGAATA